TCTTTTCTTTTTTTTTTTTTTTTTGGGAATGATGATACGCCGCGTGGGACGTTTGGATTCGAGTACCTTGGATTTTCTTTCCGGATAGACTGTCGGGCTGGTGTTTATCTTTTTTATGGGAACAGAATGGGTGGCTTCCGGGAGATACAAGGCGCTTGGGGACATAAAAAAGGGAAACCGTATTAGCGGGGCATTCTTCTCATGGTTTGTATTACGATCTCTGTTGCTTTTTGACTTTGTGATTTCTGGATAAGGAGACGTTTTGACTTCCTCTGTACATATTCGCTCGAAGGCCATCAGGATGTGAGGTGAGCTGGGCGCGGTGAAGCTCACGACCTGCGTTGCTTGATAGGATTCTGGAATCCATACTATTATTAATCGCCAAAAGGCTTAAGTTACCGTAAACGTGACTGATCTGTCGGTCAAGGAGACTCAACCAAGGCGCCTTCCTGTCTAGGCAATATTTTGGTGCCAGGTGGTCGTTTCTTGCAATCATTCACTTACTCACTTCGACTCTCCCTCATCCCACTCCACTTCCACAATCCCCTCATCATCTCTCATTATCATAAATGTATCCCAACTGCGTCTCCAATGTACCCACTCGTCTGCTAAGCGGTTCTTTTTCTGCCGTTTCAAACAACGCTGGTCACAAATCATGTCGACGCCCGAGCTAGAGCCAGAACCCCTGGGTTCACCTCAGGTCCGCAATCTGGAAATTAGAGGCACGTGGGATGGTGAGGTCAATGGGCGGGCGGAACTTAGATTTTCGCTCGAGGTGGGTTGTCGTCACCCCGAGCTTCATATATGATTCGTGTGTTAGTAACTGTCACTCTACAGATACAAAGCACCTCAAACACGCAGATACAAATACTAGACACTAGCTCTCCTACTGTGCTTTTGTGCAAGACCTCAATTCAATTTCTATCCGAGAAATGGGATCAGAATAGTCAGCCTGAAGAGGTTCCACCTCAAAGCCCTCTGTTCGAATTTTTTGAGCCAATCTATCGTGATGGCGAGGGAGCTCATCTGAACTCCAAGGGCTTTCCTGAAACCTCCGACCCCATCAATGACCATGCCTTTGTTAAAGCCCATAGCGAAACGAGCTCTACAACTCACATACTGTACCCAGGTCATAAAGTTGACAGCCCTTTGGAGAGTTCTTTAATGCCTGATGAACACTCTCCTGGCTTACGTCCTAACTTTGCAAAACGAAATGACCAGACCAGGATGCTAAATCTAGGGAAAAGAAGTGCTACAGATGCTTGCCTGACAGATGTCGAGTCGAACTTGGAGGATGTCCAGCCAGACCGAAATCTTCCATATAATGGCACCGTTCACAATCTCGATACGCCAGACTACCGTCTACTACAGAGACCAGCACAGTCTGAAAGAGACGATGCGATGGACAGCATAAGCCAGCAGCAATCATGTTCTTCTCGAGATCACAGCAAGCCAGCCTTACTGTCGGAGATGGGTGTGGGAGTAAAACAAGCATCCGATGCAGAACAATGCCTTGTCGGTGCACATTACAAGCAAAGTCCAGATGGTCCTCACGAGAAAACAACAGCTAATACAAGTTTTCCACGTGGGAAAAGGCTGCACACCACATCGGCAACTAAGAACATTTGCAAAATTAAGGACAAAGACATCGATGGTCACGATACAGCGCTTACAAACCTCGCTCATTCCGATATTGGTCAGGAAAAGGTGCCCAATGGCCCAAAAATGCCTCCCATCTCTGGTACTAGGTCGGTGGAAAAACTTGAGACTGATCTGGGCGACAGCCCCTCAACTAGGTTGGCTCTATTGCTAGATACAGAGCAAGAAGCAGGATCAGACCCTGATAATTTTGATCGAAATCTCATTGAGCATTACGAACAAAATCCCGGTGATACTCACAAGTCCAAACACCGTGAATTTTCTGAGAACGAGCCCGAAATTAATATGGTTGATGATATTCTTTTCGTTCAGTACCCAGCCAATGTACGCGCAGGAGTCTACAAGCTCGTCGTCACCGTCTCAATCGCTCTGCTCAGGAAGACACCCAGTGATTGGTACGATCTAGTTATACCAGGTCTGCCCAAGTTGAGGACGGGAGAGAGTGGGTTCATTCTCTTTTTGATTCCTGACAAGTACGGTGTTGAATTTCGAACCACATATCTCCGCAGATTTAGGATGGTGGAAGATTGCTTGTTCGCTGAGTTTGTGGACAAGAGGGATCTTCTGATACCAATGCGGTCTTTTGACCAGAGGAATTATGGCATCGTCAAAGATTTTGTCGTGGACCAGGAAATCGAAGCACGTCCTTTATTGATCTCTGCCTCAGAGGACAACAAGCACACGCACTCAAGTTTGTCGGTGAGATATCATGCGATGTGCTCGCTGAGGTTGCATGAACGCTGCTTCTGGGCTGAGAAGTGCTGTTTCTTTCTCGACTTAGATGGAGGGCCAGAAGGATTTTTCCAATGCAAACTCCAACCTCCGGATACAAGTTTGCAGGTGGTCTATATACCTAGCAGTAGTTCATATTCTATCGGTGTCTCCCACCTTCAAATCATATGTTCACCACGAGATTTAGGGATGTTTTGCATCACTTGGCTAGTCAAAATGCCGTTCCCAGCAAGGAACTGGCTGCCGCGAATCTTTCCTGGGTCAACATCCAATACTAATGAACGAGATAGAAATCAACTTCGAGCTACGTTTATTAGACTATATGCCAATGCATTCACTGAAGAACAAAGCTACCAATATATCATGTCTGCTCTTGAAAGAGGAGATGAAACCGGCGGAAGATCGGAAGCTGTGGAAGGTGGTGGTTGGCCTGAAGACCCTGAACGGACATTCAGATCTCAATATATGAACACAGTAGCTAAAGCTATATCAAGGCCGTTAAGAGCCCTATGGACGCCAATCAATGACCCTATACCTACCTGGAGAGCGTCCCGGAAAAAATTGTTTATTCTCACCCTTGTTGTTGCTTTTACAATCTGCGGCACGCTATCATGCCTCCTACTTAGCCCTACATACTCTGGAGCTCTCCATCGCCCTTGGGGACCTGTTAATGGGGCAAACGCTGGCTTGCTTGATAAGTCGAGATTGGACGGGCAGATTCCGGGCTGCGGGGAGCCGAGCTCTGAGTATAACAATTTTACTGAGGAGCTTTTCGATCAAACCCCAGACAACTTTGACAGCGCGTCGTTATTCGATAACAATCATACCAGTAAACACGTACCCTTGAATCAGCAGGAAGCTATTGATCTCGAGACAGATGTCAAGAAAGTTGAACAAGTACAAGCGGAGGAACAGACAGCTATCACACCAGGCGTGGAGTCAGGTAAAGTGTTTTCCTTGAGAGATCAAATCGATCATTTTCTAGGGTGGAAAGGGCCCATTGATCGCATGGCATGAGCAGGTCAGTCCATCGGGAAGTCGTTATCGGTTGCGCTCTGGATAGAAAATGACAGAAATAACGAAAATGAATGGGATACTTGTATCTCTACGGATCACATACATCATAGGTCGCATTTGCATGGAATGATTTTTTCCTTCTTCTATTTGTGTTCTTCCAAGATGTTACTCTCGCCGCTGAGTGGTCTCCAAGTACTTTAGTACCTCCTCAACCGCCCACTTTAGAATATCTACCATAGGCTTAGTGCCTCGTCCAGGGGCTACAATGACACCAGCATTTGTTCTCAGGTTCACTCCTTGTCCCACTTGGTTAAGCAACTCCTGGGAGTCTGCGCTTAAAGTGTTACTCTTCTGTGATTCTCCTTCTGGTAGGAACAACCAGGCATGATCCTGCACATACCGCGGCCACACGATATCGTCCACATAGCCTGGTGGATCCGTCCAGAAGTTCTGCGGCGGCCGATCATCGTCACCTTCCAAGTCCACTTCATCAGACACTGAACTTCTTTGCGGTAACGAAGTGGGCTCCGGCGCAGGCCCACTCGTCACATATCCACTCCGACTCTCACGCCGCGACTTCACCATATCGTATGGCGCGGGCAAAAACAGATGGACATCAATATTCTCATGCACGGGTCGAAGAACATGGTCTTTATCCTCGGATTCTGGGGGACTGTACAATAGAAACCCCTCCAGAAAAGCAATTGTATGCTTAACTGGAGCCATAGTGCCTTCATTTCTGGAACCAGGTTGCTGCTGCTGCTGCTGAAAAAGCGAACAAAGTCGACCCCCCACTTTCTTCTGCAACTGAAGAATCGTCTCCTCATCAACACCCGAGTCCGACTTCTCATTGAGATCCTGGATACTCTTCAGACGGGGCGGAAGATGTCCATGTTCACGGACGTAAGACAAAGCCGAAGATAGGAATTTGACATCGATTGCGTCGATGGTATCCCAGTCTTGGACTGTTTTCCCGGATGCGGTCGTTGTATATGGAATTCTAGGATTGGGTGTTAATAACTCCGCTTTCTCTTACTATGTCTCACTATTGAATTTCATTTCAAAAAACGAATAACAAATACCCAAACAATTTAGGGGACAAAAAAAAAATCAAAATCAAAATCGAATTTTCTAAAAAGGAGAAGAAAAGAAAACTCCATCTAGAGTTTTCCCCCCAGGTATGCAGGGTAGGTATACATACCGATCATCGGGAAAATAAAAATCATCCTCATGGACAATAAATGTGAAAAGACTCTCGTCTACTTTAGAGAATATCTTCTGTAGTAACCGAGCTAGGGTCGTTTTACCGCTGGATGACGGTCCTGAGATCCCGATTACACCAGTTTGGGACGTCATTGTGATGGGTGACAACTTCAACCTCCTCCTGTTCTCTCTTTCTCTCAGTCCAGGAGGCCCGGTGAACGGAACCGTTTGTGTGTAGATTAATTGACTGACCGTAATGGAACCGTTACGGGGATGGAACCATGCCTTCGACTCCGATGTGGTATGGATAGAAAAGGTGGGGGGGAGGATTTATAGGTAGTGTGGGTCTTATACATGATACCATTTCTTAGCGTGGTTTTCGGGTTGGTTATCTTGATTGTTGTTGATGCCTTGGTTTTCAGGTGTATGTTCTACTACGTTCAGTAGTGTGCTTGATTGCCGGATTTGGTTAGCGTAGCAATGTAGCTATTTCTGGAGGAATGCGGTCTTCGGATTGGAAGTAGGACCTGATTGTATGATAAAAAATTTACTTGTCTAATGGGTCTTGGATATTTTGTTTACATGGTTTATTTGGTTTACTTGGGAGTTTATGTGTTGGTACGATTTCGTAAATTTGCATCATTCTCTCTCACAATATTGAATCAAATATTCCTGTCCAGTATTCATCCAACCTACAAGTCCAATTGTATACAATACATGATCTGGTATAGTTCCTAGAGGCATCACCCCACTCAGTCAGTTGAAAATAGATACGTAATTGTTGGTACTCTCGTCAGTGCCGTCGCTGGAATTCATCAATGAGGGAAGTGTCTCAAAAATACCACCGGAGTACAAATCAGTACCATCCGGTCTCCTCCGTTTAGATGTCCCCACATCTAAGTCTCTCGTAGTGTCCACGTTCATATCAACAGGTGCGGGTCCCCGCTTGCGGCTTCGGGGGGTTCTCTCGGCAGAAGAAGGATACTCATTCACTTCGGGGATTGGGAGTCCGTGGCGGTCGAAGAAACCGGGCGGTTGATTCAAGTACGCTGGGCCGGTGAGGTCTTCGTCATCTGCCATGTGGAGGAAGGGCTCATTCTGGATTATAGAGCTCATTGTGCTATCGTCGAGTAAGTCTCTTTCCGCTTGTTGCATTTCTTTCTCTGACATGGCTTTTCTGCGCTCCAACATCTTGTCTTCCAAGGTGTCTTTGAGAACGAGAGTCTCTACGAAAACTGGTCGCGTCTGGCCAATACGATGTGCTCGTTTTATCGCCTGGCTTTCCACGTTAGGTTGCCAGATAGGGTTGACAATGAATACGCGCGAGGCATTCGCGATGTGTAAACCATGGGATGCTTGATGTAGATCCATTAGGAGAACACGAACGTCCTCCTGTTCTCGAAATAGTTCCAAGTAAGCCGCTCGAACTTTAGGTTTCAATGTGTTCGCGTAGATACGGAAATCAACACCAAGAAGTTCAAGTCCTTCCGCGATCCAGAATGCAGAGTTATTGTTATCGTAGAATATGATAATCTTTTCTTCTGTATGAAGTTCTAGGACTCGATCCAACAAATACGTCAGTTTTGCAGATGTTGTTGCAACCAACTTTGTCTGTGCAAGAGGAGATGATGGTGGTAAAGTTTTGACTGCACAGCTGCTCAGCTTATCAGGCGTGGTTTTCTTGGTTGTCACGGAATCCGGGGGTCCTTGTCGGCCGGATAGCGCAAGTCGAGCCTTTATACCCGCTCCAGCAAGACCTTCTTCGGGATACATTTCATTGAGGCGTACGGTAACGAAATTTTGGGCTTTATGAGCCTGTGAGATACCTAACAGAAGGGGCTCAACATCGGATCGCGATGGTGAGAGCGCCCACATGCTCCGAGAATGAGAAGGAAAATCCTGGATAAACACCCCCAATTCATGGAATTGTTTGAAAGCGTTCCAACTCTGACAGGCAATCGCCTTCTGAGCTATTTGAATGCCCTCTGTGAGCATATCCATGTCATATTGAACCATCCTCTCTCTGTTTGTTTCCATGTAGTTCGAGGCAACATGGATCGTTCCTTGGATGTCACCATCGGAACCAGCCCACCAAAACCCAGCCTGTCGTAGGTTATTAATAACCAGACTCAGATGTTTTCTGTTACGTGGATGGAACATATAGTCCTGGTCCTTGCGCTCGGAAGTGATCGCGTTGACAGCCAATATGAAAATGAACAAGTTGAGATTTAACTTGTCATAGAATGTCGGCTCAAGACGCACGACCCTGTTGTACAACCTTGGAAGAGGAACCTCGTTATAGATAACCTCCATGCGGTGCCGCACGACAAGGCTCTGCAAGGTCGCACGGAGCGACTGTGCCTTCCGACGCTTCCCGTCCTCTCCGACAGGTTTCATGTATTTGGTCCAGTTAGCTGGGTCATTGGCGTGAGAATTTGACCATGGTTTCAGATCTAGGAACCCAACAACAATACGTCGAATTTCGTCAAGATCCTTGAGCTCACTGCCAATAACAGTGGTCTTCTCTTTCCCATGAAGCACAGCTGCTGTAGCCTCTGTCATGTCTGAGTCACTAGTGGCATTGGTCTCATGCGAAGCTAAGCTAACCTCGACTCCATATAAGCCACTAGACGGAGTTCCAGATACTATCCACCGACGCTCGACGTGAAGCTGGTCCAACATGTGAACCATGTTTGTTCGATGGCCATGACCAGCTACATTATGACCTTCATCGACAATGATCCGAAGCCAATGAAGCTTCGTCAGCGGCGATGAGTCTGAAGCGATTGAGCTTCGTCTGTTGTTGGATGCTGTGCCTGCCTCTTTTTCAAAGCGAACTTTTGAAAACAAGACAATATCATATTCTAAAAGTTGGTCTGGTGGGGGGACCGGATCTGAGCTGTTCTGGATTACGAGAACGTTGACTCCTTCAGCATGTTTGGCTATTTCATCTTTCCAGTGGTTTACGAGGTTAGGTGGTACAACTATCAAAGTAGCTGAACAGAGACTAATCTGCCGGGAAGGTGGCCTCGGATAGGCTACACCAGTCCGGCTTCCGTATCTTGCTGGCGGAGGGGGTATGGTATATACCCCGCCATGCTCCTTGCATGCTTCGATACATTTACCAAAAAAGGCACCGGTACACCTCATGAAATCGAAATGACTCTTCCAAGGCAAGGATAGTCGGCCTGCAGTTGCAGCTGCCATATCGAGAAGACTTCCAGTTTGTGGCCGAACTGGGAGCTCCATGTCCTGATACTCTAGAGGAACTTGAGGAAAGTGGCCTTGAGTAGCCAATATCACAGCTATGCATATAAGAGTCTTCCCGCAGCCCATAGTCTCAGCAAGAATACCTATTAAATGTCAGCAGATCAGAGAATCAGACCTACTCAGAACAACATACCGCCACGAGGCTCCGAATACATTCTCTTTTCTCTAATAATATTGCCTTCCTCTTTGTCGTAGTAGTATTCCTGGCCCGTAGGTGTGGCATAAGACTTGAGCCGAGGATCAAGCATGGGTGCTGGCTGCGCCTCCCGCTGAATCATGGCGGCAGCCGAACGGCGTTGATAAGGGTATAGGGCTGTTCGCAAGTAGGGAACACGAGAATATTCTCTGGGCAGTCCTACACCATCATCAAAGCCGTCAAGGTCATCGTGACCCCTTTTAGGTGTTACCGAAAGCAGTTGTCGCATGGCTTTTTTGGTGTGCTGATCTCTCATCGAGTCGGGGTTGGGCACGGGGTTTTGCAAAGTATTGAAGATGTACCACAGTGACTCGTCCTCCTTCGAGTTTGG